ATAAATTAAATGAATCCACAGCGAAGGCCTTTTTCCTTTCACCAGTAATGATGCAGGTATAAACGTAAGAGGGGACACCACGAGCTGAAGGCAGGCCTGTCTAATGGTTCATGGCGATAAGCAGATGAAGGCGAACTCCGTTAGGGCAATACAGCAGATTATTTCAGAACTTGTCAAAGTTAAGGTTGATGGGAAAGAATTTGAGTGGGGCTAAATTATGCACGAGCTAGAGTAGAAAATGGACAAAAATGTTGATGAGTTTGGCTTGAACCGGTCGAGAAAGGTGAGTGGGGATAACAAGCCGGAAAACGGGTACTAGGAAACCGTAGGCAAATACAAGTCCTGACGGAAACAGCGAAAAGACTTGAGTGTTTCAAACAGTACTACAGTCAATGTGTCTAACTGGAGGTCCCTGGTGAAAGTAGTGCTCATTGCAGTAATGGCTGGTGCAATGCCATCGCAGAATAGCAACACTAAAAATGATGAATAATAGCATCTGCGAATGCATGAGTGGGAATAGAAACAGACTTTACTAAGTGACAGGGGTGAGGAAGGAAGAATGTGGAGCTTCTTTGCAAGACCTTGCATTGCCGTTCTGAATGTGGCGAAATCATCGAGTAAGGCTGTTGTTTGAAAGAAGCTAATCACATATGAGCGAATTTCGGTGCCCATTTCGGTCCCATGTCAAGCGATTAAATGTCATTGAAATGTCAAAGAAACGACTCCTTTCAGCGGGGAGTCGACAGAATGACACGAGTAGTCAGCATGTCAGTACGTACGGAGCGATGATGTCCAAACTTGTTTTGACAATCGCCTGAAGATCAAAAGTTGCTTGAAAAGGATGGACCCTTGTGCTTTAGATAGAGGGTTGAACATGAACGAATAATCGTCCAGGTCAGAAAAGACGCCATCTGGGAATGGGAACGAGTTGTGTATTCCTGTCGGACGACAGGGAAATGCCTCAGAACTTCAAAGTACATAACTTTTCTTTGTATCAGAAGAAAGACACAAACTAAATACCGGTTCTGAGACAAACGCCGCGGACAACCTCATCTTCATCACAATCTGACAGAAAACAGAAAACCTGCTGGTGCTGTTTGCACAGCAAAGAGAGCGAGAAAAGAAAGAAATGCGCAATTGGAGCAGGCTAAAAGTAGTGCAGTCCAATTTCTGATTTTCCCATCAAGATGAATTCGGGATTGCCACTGGGACCGAATGGGCAGATAAATGAGAAAACAAAAATTTACAGTTAGTTTACAATAGGTTCCTTGAGGAGCCGCAACTTTCACAACCTTGATGTCATGGAATTTACCAATCATTCTAAAGCACAGAATAAAAAGAGTATCCATTTGAACGCCTTGTTCTACCGACTGAACCGGTAAGCCACAAATAGGCGTGGTAGTTCTTCCGCACTGCGGAAGCGTTTACTAGCAGCTTCGTGGGAGACAGCAAGACAGAGCGATCGCTCGGATGCACCGGCCCAAGCGCGTTCTAAGCACGTCGCAGAAGGTTTGATCATCCACTCATACTTGAAAGGCGGTGTATTTTATCGAACAAGAGGTTGGCAGTTGATGTGATCGTCATCCACTCATACTTGAAAGGCGGTGTATGTTATCAAACAAGAAGCTGGTAGTTGATCCGATCACGGAGCGTAGAAATTAGCTTGCTAACGTAAGTCGCACGAAGGGAGATCCCCCAGCGAGTGCATTATTGAGAAATAATTCCTTCTGTTTGTATTCATGTAGATGATGTGGATGATAGCCGTAAGGCGATTGGTTGGCTAACGATCGGCCTGGAGGCATTTCAAATGGTTCATTTGGAATTTGTACTGCGTTGTGGTTCGATTCCCCTGCACTTTGTTGCTTAGTTTTCCCGAGTTGTTGCTACTCTCTTAGTCTTCCTAGTGGGTTACGCGTCAGCTAGCCTTCCTTTCATGCCACTGGTCACTGAACACCTATTTTTAGTTCCCTTCTTTGTTCGATTTGAATGTTATATCTACCGTTACGGTTCCGCTGTACTCCGAAATCTTGGGTCCTTATAGGTCCAGTATACATGCTCCCGTTTAACGCAGTTTCCATTTATTATTCCCTTTAGTCTTGCATTTAACTTGGTCATACATTCTGGTGACATTGTCTCTCATCCGATGAGAGTTGATGTTCTGTTAATCCTTTCAGTCAGTTTCATTTCTACGGAGTTTAGCTTAAGATTTTCGGAGATGTGGATTCTTGAGAGCCTGATTGCTTGGGTGACCTTATTGTTTTTGATGGCCTTATGAAATGTGTCAGACGTAATGCGATCCGTCCGAAGAAAGGTTGCGGATTCAACCGTATCGGATTTGTTGTGATTTATTGAAAATGACATATGAACTAAAGGAAGCACTTATCGTTTCAGTGTTTCTAAGGCTATAAAAAACTGACTTTTGAGAATCCTCAGGCCCGGTTTCTGAAGATTCATCCCCTTGAGGTTTTCTGGAACTTTTCTGGCGCATTCGTTGGACTTATCATGATCAATCAATATTCAGTCAATAGGAACCATTTTGAAGTTTGAAGTAAAAAGGAAAAACTACTGATCGAGTTGCAAGTAGACTCACAAGTTTCCCGTTCCTAAATCCGCATACAGAAAATGGGTTGCACAGTCGCTTAAGATATTCCGAACACTCTAAATGGACTGGCAGTTAATGTTGACAGCACTGATAAACTGAAACTACTTGGAGAGAGGGGGATTGTTTCAAGCCCGTATCCGCCGACCGATGGTGTATGACTAGAGAGTTCGGTTCAAAGCTGATTCATAGTCTAACCCAAAACAGTCTCGGATTACCGTACACCACACATGTTACCTCAAAAGAGAGGAAAAAGCGCAGCGCATACTCACACATACTTACCGTCTTTCAGGTTATACGGTAAGTCGTACCGTGAGTAAGAATACCGGGAACTACGACCATATTCTTGAATATCTTCCCGACTGCCACCGATACCGAAATCGTTTTTTGACCAATAGACTTGCGCACCCGCGCCCGTTTGTGGATCAGTCAATATTCGCACACGACATTGCAGTCGAACGGTGCTGTTCAAGGTCACAGCTTGACTGTCAGGATGGATTTGAATAATCCCTTCAACACCGGGGTTTTCCAACCTTGAGGTGTCCATCAGGATGTTGGGTTGGGCTGCGATGATACCGTATAGGCAAACTGAAGAGAAGAAAAGTTGAAAAGTTGAGAATTTACTATATATGCTGCCGAGGACATGACACGTGTCACTGAATCTGTGGAGCAACGAGAATGCGTTGAGCAATGCATGACTAGGTGAGTTGTTGTCCGATTGTGGCCCAAAATTTGAGTGAAAAGTAGGGAATGGAGTAGATTCGGATCTTGAAAGCCCGGAAACGTGCAGTGTGTGTGTGTGTTTGATAAAGTCCAACCAATTTACCGTGATAGATTTTTTGCACTGATAAAAGCTAGTTCAAACTGAGTGACATGCTTCAAGCAGCGTCGATGACAGCCGCACCTGCTGTGACTGTCAAAAAATCCCTTTCTCCGCTGCCTATACACCTACGAGAAGCTCATCATAACATATGGATTGATACACAATACGCAAGATTCAGTAGAACTTGAAAGTGGAACTTTCAAATCCAAACGGAAAGACAAAGTGGGCCTCGCAGCTTTCAACAAACCGCGGTGCATACTTGTGATAGTTTAGCTATTGCAGGAATTCTGGGCCAATTTGTAATCCAGTTGCGCTGGAAAGATTACGGAACAAAGAATCGGAGTACATCATAAAATACCTAGGTCGTCAGTTAATTGCGCGCACACGTGAGACTCGTAAAAACTTGCATAGTTGGACACTGCTGCACGCGCAACTTGTTGTCACTCTATCGAACAATGGATGACTAACCTTCAAGTTGCATTCTTTTCTGATTTAGATCAGAGCAGGTTCTAAACCGGTTTACCTCTGGGCTTTCACATCGCGACAACCCATTGCGTTCAAAGCCTAAGGATATTAAAAGTTGCCCATCCAGAGTTGGATATCGGCAGTTTGGAGTGTAGTATTCGAAGATCGTCCAGTTGTAACACTCTCAATGCCTAGCTGCCATACCATCCGAAGAAAGCACAAGGAATGAGACACTGCTTAAGCCTAGAAAGAAGTCGGGGTCAAAACACGGACCCACTGGCTAGTAAGTTCATGCCTTAAACAGTGAGCTCTCTTGAGCTCACTTTAGAATTTGATAAGTGTATGCTGCGGAGATAGACAAACTAAACCAAGGTACGTAGGAATTGACCAAGATTTAGGGTCATTCTATACTTAACTAATACTGAGTAACTTACATGCTGTTGGACTGATTGGTCTAACAGAACAGTTCTCGGCGTGTGGACTTCCGCCGCCGTGACAAGAACGACAACGCAAACGAACAAAGCCAATGTTCAACATAGAGAACCCGGAAAAACTGTTGTCTGGAGGTCGCATACTGTTGAAAAAAATACCAAGATGAACAACAAAGGAATAGGTACATGTTTATCAGTGGATGAGTGCTTATGAGGCCCGAAATGTGCGTAGGATGCCTGGGAAACATTCGGGGTGAAATAGATAGTTTGAACAGCCGACAGCCAATAGCTCGGCTCCAAAAAGGCGCTTGCTGTGATGTTTTTCCCGGCCTGTACTGCTACTTTAGCAGGGTTCCGCAGACAAATTTCCCACGCTTGATATAAACAAGGCTTCAATGACCTTCATATTGTACCTGCAATGGTGCATTTAGGTCTAAAAAGATCTACCAAAGCTGAGCTTGTTTGCTCCTGAGGTCCACATAGCTACAATAAAGCTCAAGATAGCTTAGTGTTTAGGGCACGAACATAATGATCAAAAGGTCCGTGGTTCGAGCCCAACCTCTGCATCTCGAATGCTTTCATCTAGGCTTGAGCAAACTGACAGTATATCAACCGCCATGCTGCCTTCTTGTGGCACGGCAGTGAGGCACCGAAATAGGGTGCTACAAGAGAACTATTCCTGTGCATTTCAGAAGGTGTAGCAGGATTGCCCAAGTCTAGACAGGGGAGATCGGAAAGTCAGGGTTGGAAACACGAAGCTGCCCTTATGTAATAAGAATCTTAACTTTTGAAACATTTGGAGATGATGGTCCGATTTAATGTATCATTAAGAGCGCTTAACTCTGTGCTCACACCGACAACGGAACAGAGGCAGTTCTCTATGATAGCAAAGTATAGATCTTCCATTCACCACTAGTAAACGCATCAGGGATTAGGAATTCGCCCCGTAGGATTGCTTCCTCAAACATCACGCATGTCGTACAACTCAACGAAAACCAAAATCTCACGACACCCAAGGGACGGAAGCTTGAAAATCCAAATTATGCAAGTAGTATATAAAGTTCGATCAGAAGCTCACAACGGCGAACCACCAGTTTGGTTCTTGATTATCCACACAAAAATTACTCGGTTGCTTCAAATATTGCATGTCGCTTTGCTCATTTGAAAATTGAGGAGGTTGGCCAGAATTTCAGCCTTCCTGTTTCAATACGGTAGCTGTGAGGCAGAAGAAATGGAACTTATTCGTAATACACTACTCATAAGGTTGCTGAAAATTCGTCGACAGCCCACGATCGGTTTCACCCTTCTTGGGGCTCATCAGGTAGGCGCAGTCCCGTCAACCTTATGTTCTACTTGAAACCTTATGAGTAGTATATTACGAATATACATGTATCACGTTATCCCGAATATCCTCGCGAGCGAAGTATGAGGCGGCTTGGTGCAGCACATTCAGTTGCCTGGAAACATCACAAACGAGAGATTCAGCTGGGTTTCAGGTAAGTCTCTTGCAAAACCAAATTAGTTTGCAAATGAGTGTATTTCGCTGAACTGAATCTATCTTTGAGATAATTACTAGACGGTTTATAACCAGAAACGATGCTGTGCGTTTTCCTTATACCACAAAGAACAAAACTTGCTAGATACCAGAACAGGTCCCTTAGTGATAAGGAAGTTGATGAGCCCTGGATGAAACACTTTCGGTTGATGTCACTTATGTGCGGGACAGTGCGGACTGTAGTGAAAGCTAAATGATGATTGATGCGTCATCAGTGCCAACTTACTAAAGATTCTTAGGCGTGGTTCTTAGGAGGTTAGCGATAAAACTATGTCTACTGAACGGATAAACTGGGTGTTGTGTCTTGATGTACGGTAGTGCAACTCTGTGCCGGTCCCTTGGCTTCCTGCTCCGCCCACTATGGTATAGCAAAAGGCACGGTAGCTCTACACAGTCCTTTATGGAGACAAAGGAAAATCATTACAACTGTGTATATATATAGGGTAGTCACAGTGTTCCACAAGGTCGTGCCAGAATGTCCGTGAGGGGGCGAGAACCGTCGAGTCAAGGTGCTTGACTCGGATTGGCTGGCATTCCCGCCTACACTAATAAACTTATAAAAGCCGCTTCTACTTTCTGTCAGACTTTTGAGCCAAAACTACGGTCCTAAGCGTTGCACTTTCCCTGCCTTGAGTTTGGGCGCCATGGTACGAAAACCAATAATTTTATAACATATTGGCCATCACCTGGTGCCATCAGATGGCGCGATCGAATTGTTTCATACAGCAGGGTAAGTAGACAAAACAACTAATGTTTATGTCTCCTATCTTCCTCCACCAGTCTCACTTATTTCCCTTCCTGTACCACCTAACGTTCACCCTTTTTATATCTCAGCATGGAGATGGCATTCAGATACGTGGTCGAAAACATACTCCCACGCCCGTCCTCAACTTCATGCTCTTCCTTCAGATTTTTTGTTCCCGGGCAAATCAGTCAACAAGAAGCTCTATCAAGCAATTTTGGCACTTTATCAATAGAACCTTGTTGCACCCCGAAAAGTCTATTAGAAGAACCGGATACGGTAATCAAGTTTACGGAGTCTTTGCCTACGAACTTCAGATTATTCGGCCGCCGGTGGTGGTATAACTGCCCGTCCTCCAGCTCAGGTTTGATTATTTGGCCATTTCCCCTTAAACAGATGACTTCTTATTGTTCATGTCCAATAGGCAATTTGACACCCGATCTTCACTTTTCATTTCTGCATATGAACTGTAAGTCAGATGTAGTGAACGTTACTCGTTATCGTTCAGCTGTAGCATCCTTTCGGTGCCTAACTGCCATGCCACCAGAAGGTAGTACGAAGGCTGAGATAGTGTCAGGTTTCCTAAGCCTAGACAGGGGAACTAAAGAGACAGGGTTCGGGTTCGATCCACGGACCTTCTTGTCAGTTAACTTACGCTTTAACTACTGAGCTATCTCACCCCATTACAAAAGTAGGATATTTCCGCTCATAAGAGTAGTGCGTTGGTGGACCGGTTAGCTTGAACTCAAGACAAAGCGACTGTTTTAGTTATCCATTGTAACTTTGACCAGATCACTGCGTATCTCTCAGTAGTACAGGGTTTTGAAGAGGCCGATTACTGGCGTTCCCGTCCACGGAGCTGTCCACGGAGTCGACAGCGAAGGTCCATTCAATCTCCCTGGACTATTTTCATCGCTTCAGGTAATGCTGTTGTACAGTGGTTTTTCCTTGATGAATTCCCCGGTAAAGTCATAAAAGCAGAGTTCTAGTTATTCAAGATCTTAAAAGCTTGTGAGGAAATCCAGAAGTGTAGACTAGGAAGACATCAGTCCTAACTCGGGTGAGATAAGTGTCGCCACGCGTGCAACAGGGGACTCGGCACGTGGCTTTTTTGAACACTAGACGGAAGAGGATGTTCCATCCCTCAACGCGCCGAGCTTACTTCATCCAGAAAGTCAGTCAAACACTAGCTCTTGCATGCGACACAGTAGAGCAACCGAGTGAAATCGGAAGGCACTTGGATTGGAGGAATGTAGTGCCTTGAATTCTTGAAACGCCATCTGACCACATGGGCAGAAGGAGTTCCATGAGGTGTGCCCAAAGATGTCGAATCTCTCTGTTTTACCCTGCCAGGTTGTTCGGACTGGTTGCAGAGTAGGAATGAGTTCCAGCAACCTTAGTCTAATCATCCACTGTTGGCTTATTGAGAAACGATGCTAAAAGCAACTGCTTGAAATATGACGATGTAGGCACCATTCCGATCGTAACGCGGATGCTCCGATGCGAGTTTGGCAGCCTCAAACAGGAGTTGACCATATCTTTGTTTTACGTCAACATGGGTTGGAGCAGAAATTCATACCCTCGATGTACAATGGCGGTTTACCGAGAATTTAAGGGTGTCTGATTCGTGTACAAATGAAAGTTCAACATGGAATGTTTGTGGATATTCTCCGTACCTTACTACTGCTCGTTCTGGGGTTTAACATTCCGCAGCGAAGTTCTTTCGCCCCACTCTTGTTTAACAGCCTCAGTGAAATCAATGGAGTGGGGCCTCAAGAGATAATTGATTTGCGTGTCGAGATAATACACAATTAGATATTAGTGACCCAGGAGTATGCAAAAGAAAATAGTGATCATACGTCCATGAAAATTGCTCTCGCTGGTAAATCGAAGGTTTTCTTCTTATTTCAGCGTGTGCTTTGCATCATCAAGGCGAAAAGCATTACTTCGGGAACTTCGCTTCACTAAACCTGTTTGAAACGTCATAGTGAGGAGCCCAAACTTCAAGGTCAGATTAATCAATTTAGCAGTCATGGATAATATCCACTCACACACCATCGACTCACGGCCAATGTTTGCCAAATTGCTTCAACATTGGCGCGCGAAACGAGTGACACCGAGGTCAGAATCTGGTGTCAACAAATCCATCATGAGAGTGATCCTAGTCCGAATACGAAATTTAAAACCCAAAACGTTTTCAAATGGCCAACCACCGATGTCTCAGTAAGATGGCAGGCCTCAACCGGTTGCAAGGTACACGAGTTGGGAGTGTCCGCAAGCGAGTACCAGATAGTGAGTCGGATGCATATGAGTGTTATACAAAGTCTGTCAAGTTAAGATGGTTAGGGCACATCTGCCCGTCTACGAAGAAAAACCGCGCCTTTCTTTCCAAAACGGAAGACAATCTATGACCTGCCAAAGTGAACGAACCGGCCATGGTTAATTTGAACATTGAACGATCTTCGAATCTGTCTGGGTGTATGTCGGTATTGAAAAACCTTACAATTTCACGTGACCAGTTTGCTGTTGATTTCTGGCCAGACTATTTAGCAGAGCTGTTGATAATGCGAAGATATCCTAGAATTCCTGATGGGGATTTCGCCCTGTGATTGAAGCTGTGCAGTCTACAGCTTCTTCACCCTCATTGAGAACAATGAGCAGTGTGCTCCTCAGGCTACTTCATGGAGTTTCCCACCGATCGTCGTGTGGTAAGCTGGTAAGCTTCGCTAAATGAGGTCCAAAGACTCGGTCGAGTCAATCTCACTGCTGTTGTACTGCATGGCCATACAGCTATGGCGTTTTTAGGGCTTTGGAAGGTTTAAACTGCTTTACCGGTGTAAACGAGGTTTTTGAAAGACGACCCCCACACTTCCCCTTTCCTGTCACGGTAACACGGTTATGTGATTGCTTGGTGTGAAATTCAACTGCTGACGTCTGGCTGTCATTGACGTGGCTGTGTGCTGCTGACGTCTGGCTGTCATCGACGTGGCTGTGCCCTACGGATTTCTCGGGCCAGTCAAACGACCAAATACCAGTGAACTAGTAAGGCAAGCAGAAGTGATCTGTTAGAATCCAATTAAAGTCTTTCAAACCGAGTTATACTACCTGTGACCCTCATCCAGGTATTCAAACGCTGAATCCCTGATACACCATACGTGAAATCCGAGTGAATAAAAACAACCTGTCAACAACCGAGGGGCGACGGAAATTCGTGAATTCCAAACTGCCATACCGTTCTGAGAAATTCATTTGCATAAACCACACACACCACTTGATGCCCCAAGAACAATAGAATGGGAATCTGTAAAACTCATTCACCTGACAAAAGCTTCACGTTGTGGAAAGCCTGAATTTATCTGGTTCTAAGCCCTTGTGTCATTCTGTCGTTCCGTTCCGAATGATAATCGTTTGCACAGGATGATGAAATCAACGAGTGGCCTGTGAGGAACTGATGATTGACGGAGTTTGAGGAGATTATCACTGCTGTGTGATTACTGAGTACAAATCAAATGTGACTTACACAGCGTAGATCACTTGGTAAGCAAACTGGTAAACAGATTTAATGGGTTCGAGAATTTTCGGGTTACACAATGCTGCAAAGAAGAGCCAATCGATGGTGAAAACCCAAGAAGCCCTGTACAGCCGTTTCGTCCTTATCAGGGCTCAAAAGCAGTGCGAATTTCACAATGATTGCCAATAGAGAGGAGACAGCTGTACACGGCTTCCTTGCTTTTCCTCCTAGATTGGATACTCTTTTAGAACAAACTTCTAAATTAAAGTTGTCAAATCTCATCGTACTAGCTAGTCTTCTATGATAAAGACACTTGGGTACCGTGCTTAGAGTGATATAGATGTCGGTTGCGTGAAACCATGGTTTGCGGTATCTTACAAGGCCATCTCATCTGGTCGTGTGCAGCTCAAAGTGGAATGAAGGTAGAATAAACCATATAGACATAATACACTACTCATAAGGTTGCTGTAATCTCTTCAACAACCCACGACCGGTTTCTCCCCGAATTTCCTCCAACCTTGTGTAAAATATGTGTCGCAATATCTCGGATTCGAACCCGACTTCCGCCTCTCGACTTTCCTTGTCTAGGCTTGAGCAAACTGCCACTATTCATCGTGCTTCCTTCGGGTGGCAAGGCAGCTAGGCACCGAAAGGGTGTTACGGCTGAACGATTGCCTCGGATATCCTACCAAGTGAAACATGAGGTGGCCTGGTGCAGCAAATTCAGTTGCTTAAGAATATCAGAAACAAGAGATTCATTTGAGTTTCAAATGAGCCTCCCGTTAAAACCGAATTGGCACGCAGGCAGGTGTATAAACAGACTAAAATAAGATGTTCCAGCAAAATTGAGATAGTCCACCACGGTAGGACGGCAGGTTGAGTTATTGTACAGTAACCAAGCGACTGTGAATTCTCTGACGATCAGTTTCCTACTTGGTGCTCTCCTCATGAAGTAAGACCAGACACCGATAGAGGTTCAATACTTCCTTTCTGATTTGATGGTCAAGCAACCTACCAAGGGCGGAATGTCCGCTTTTTCAAAACACGAACTCTTTGATTCGTTACACACTATGATGCAACGCCGGAGCTTTTAAAATATGAATACAGGGGTATGAATAGAAGGGTACAACGACAGAAGAGCATCTGCAGTGGATAGACAAGTTATCTGGGAGGTCGTGTGACTAACATTTTCCCCGGATATTCCATACTCACATGCAGTCAGGACAACAGCGTTACATCGAGCGGACCATGTGAGTTGTCGCCGATTCAAGAACGCGGATATCGTGACTGGTCTACTGACTAACCAGCGAATAGGCATAACGGTTTGTGTGCACACATTACATACGGACAAGGATTTCTATGACTTTCGAAATCCTCACACCCACTTTCCACGGAACTTTCCACTTGGCAACCGAGGCCAACAGATTGGAAGTTTCTGACTATAATCCTATCGTGCAACATAGCGCATTTACAGTTTTTGACATTTTTAAAGTTTGTTGAAACACTACACTACGGTTAATAAATATGTACAGTATTTGTGGATGACCTCTTGAAGTTGTCCGATCACGACTCAGCAAATTCACAGCCTACCCGGGCTTGGTGAAGTTGGAACGTTTCATGTGATACTGTCCAGCGGTTTTGATCTGTTTGTGAACAGCGATAATAGTTTCACACTGGATGACCTTCAGTTTCAAACCAATGTAGCCATCTTTACTGAGGGATAATGAAGTCAAAACGAGTTTCTGCTTTCTTTATCTTGCAACCACAACCTCTCTTATTAGGTTATCCTCATTATCTTCGTCACGGAGGTGGGGGGGGGGCGAGGCTAAAACAGACCGCGCACACCATGTACCTCGGGAACAAATCACATTTGTGAAACTGACACTTGTCCCACAAGTAGAATGAGATGGGCAATTTGAGTCGGAGGCTGCAGACTAAGACAGCTGCAGTAAATTCACCAAAGTCTTCTCTGTGCTCATGAGGGACTTGATGTGACCCTTAGAAAGCCATGAGCTTGGTGACGCCGCGAATACTCTGTGAACACTGGTGGACAAAAGCTGTTACCCTATCCAACAACACGTGGGTTAGCACGCGTTCTGTTTTAAAATTGGTATTGATTTTCACATCCTTGGGACATACCGAGCATTCAACGATTATT